GGGTCAATTCTAAAACAAAACACAGTTATCAGAGTGGGTCGATTGCTCGTTTTATGTAATAGCCTAGTGTTTGGTAACAAATACATGGAATTTCGTATCATTTTCTCGCTCCAGTACAGTATAAGCATCAATACATTTGAGCTTGACCCCCCGTCAGATTCACTGCATAATGCCGTAGTGAAACCCAAGAATACATATATAAACCTGTTGCCTAGAAGTAATCAAGTATCCGTACAGCAACACTTTAACGAACATTGCTGCCCACAAATATTAAGGCATAGAAGTAAGTGCCCGTTTTAAATGGCTGCTCCTGACACTTCACGTTTCTTCCGACGCCCCTGCATATGGATTACATATTCAGGATCACATTCAGTCAATATACAAAGTCTTTCGATATACTACTTCTAACAGTCCATAAAACAACAACATATCCTTTGTCTTGAGCCGATCCATTCTGATATTATTTTCACAAAATTTTTCATCATGCACAATGAGCACTTACCTGTGTACATTATGGGACTCCAATCTGTTTGTTAGATCTGAGTTGGGTTGATCACGACTGGTACCACGTGTAACCATTTCGGTTGGTTTATAGTCAAATGCTGAGTACACTCCGGAATCATGAGTATGTTTTGGGACAGCAGTGTCAATACTCCCGGTATAAATTTCTGCAAATGACGCATCCTTTGGATCTGTCGAAATATCACTTGGGTGTGAGCTGTAGCCATTTAAATCGTCTGACTCAAATCGTGATGGAACACTCTGATACGCGTTGCTTTGACGATAATTTGGTCTGCTTAAGTCATACTGGCGATCATTATTCACTGACTTTGAACTTGACTGAGTGTTCCTGTGCGAACTTGACTTTGAATCGACCGGTTCCATGACCTGTTTGATTGATTTCTTCGATTTTGCTACCAGAAATTGCATTCGTTTTGTGGCCACAACCACCCTTACTGCGGTACGGAATTTTGTGAATGCGGGTGAAAAGCGTGAAGTGGGTTCGTGGTACGAGGGGTAGGCCCCCATTTTGGCGATAAGTGCCAGCGTCCTGGTCTCGTTTTCACGGAATCCTCCTAACAATAGCACGAGGTATTTCTTCTGGTATACCAAGGATTTCCGAGATTTTTCAGCTCTAATGTATCTGGTGTAAAGTTTCTGGATCTGAAAATTCGAAGATTGATTGGTAATGAACTAATAAGAGTTGAGTTAATCCCCGAGTCATGGCGCTATCGTCCGGGCGAGGGTATTAATTCCGTCCGGCTATTCATACCCATGTAAGAGAACACCATGCGAACTCAAGAGTCCTGACGTTTGGCTATGGGTTCATGGGCGGTCACCACAGATCAGATCTTAAAAATATAGCGGATTTGTCAGGGCGATCAAGCTTCGATAATAAGAGAAATATGGGTCGTGTATGACCTAGAATTGGACCCTTGGAGGAGGCCGCGAGAGTTGAATCAATTTCGAAAATCGACCTTTCTGATAAGAAGCGTTTGTAATGACTACGATTAATAAAAACAACAGTTATAAACATACCCTTGTAGGTGTCCAGTGAGGAACGAACGATTCAGACGATTGCAACCGTTTAGCTGAAGCTTTGTATATCTCCACTTGATCTTCCATAATCTGCAATGAATGTTTAGTTTCATCCACTTCTATTTCTCTTTCGCGTAGTTTATCTTGCAGCTCATTCAGTTTTCTTTTCTGTCCTTCTACTGTTTGATGTAACGTGCGGCAATCTTGCGCCGCGCGAGTTCTCTCAGTCGTGAGGATTGCCTCCATTTCGTTTTTATTTCGTCGCATGCCCTGGTTATGAAAGACAAGGAAAATTATTAGGCTACTTACACTAATTAGCACAAAGACTCAATAATTCGATTAAACTAAAGGAGAATATAAAAGGTTGTTTTCGCTCCGGGTTTCGCTATCTTATCGATGGAAAATAAACGTTGCGACCAATAAATAGTGACCTACAACGAACTGTGATATTTGGTAGATGGATTTACAGACAAAATTGACGGAAAGAGTAAGCTGGCCACTCAGCAATTTCAGTGTACTGTTTGAGTGACCAGCGATAATACGTCATGTGTAGAAGCTCTACGTACTATAAAATTTCATTCTCTTTTTAAAAATGAAAACATGAAGTTCAATTTGGGATTGAACATATAGTTTTAATGTTATGCACGATACCAGACCGTTTGACGAACTTCTTAAAGGTCGATTTTCTTATTTCTCCAGTGTTACGACAGGAGGAAATCGGAGTGCTCGGAGGCGCGCGTACTCTCCTCAAGCGACTGGGGCGAGATTACACACCCCAACAACTGTTACAAACGTTGAACCAGAAAACGTATAGTCACTGGAAACTTTAGCTAGCGACTTACCTCGAAATGGTTAGCCTCGCGATCTCTATACTGGGATATCTGTAGTTCCAAATGACACAGTGTGCTACGTAGTTCACTTTTCTCATCAGTCAGTTTAGCTAAATAGTCAGACATTTCTTTATTTTGCTTTACTATCCTGTCATACGCTGCCGTCTTGATGGGTGAAAGTCGGATTGGTGAACCCTGGTGAGAAACGAACAGATTGTAATGATTTTTAAAACTACATACAGTAAACAGGTTGAGGTTGTCCTTTGAAAGCTAAAATCGAAAAGGACAAAAGCGAAAAGGACTTCTTGAACGGTCTGTGGCTCAGTGACTCACTTGGATTACAAACCCTAAGAACAGCATTCAAATATAGTGC